ATGTGTGCGTGCGTCACTGTGTCCATGTGTGTGTGTGTGTGTGTGTGCGTGTGCGCGAGCGTTTTGTTCGAGTAAAGAGAAGCACATTGAAACAATAACTTCCATTCAAATTAGTGCAAGAGAAAAAAGCTAGAATAAACAGAAACAACAGAGGAAAAGAACAGAAGCCGGTCCTACAGTACCAGAAGTGCTTTTGTAGTACGTTTTACGGCCATTGCAACCCAATTAGGCCAATTAGTACCGAATATTAGATGTGTAACAAACATGAAAAAGGAGGATGAGAGATAAGGATGATTAATGTTCGATAGGAAAGAAGGAGTAAACCACATCAGAGCACCTGCCAACTACCAATTCAGTAGTGACTCCATTCATCCATCCAGTTTCAAATTCAACAAGACGGGAAACAACAACGGGACAGAGTATAATTCTTCAATAAAAATGGCTATCCACACACTGAAGACATAGACAACTTGTGAATTCACCTCGTTTATTTCAACCACCATTTGATGTAAGTAAAGGCATTGAGAACCTGACAATTGAGAAAAAAACGAAAAAAAAACGTCAGAAGCAATACATAATTTTTGACATGCCCCATGGAAAAGGCAATACAATACATACTCAGTCTGACACAGTGGTTCTGGAGATACAATTATATTGCTGAAGATAATACTTGAACACAATCAGGAACGCAGGACAATTATAATTCTCCTATTGTTTGTTTTTTTCCTTTTCACACACCACTAGCATTCAACAGTTATCAAACATTTCCATGATAATACAGTTCAATCACAATGTGAAAGACAGTTCTCAAAAGATGATTAAATTTGAAAAAAAAAACATTTTTAATGTAGATGTTTTTATGCCCCTATGAACACAATTTAGATCATTTTGGAGGTGAGCTTCCAACCCCTTCTGTCAGGACCAACCCAGGCTGAGAGGGATACAACATCCCAGCTGAAAGATCGAGACACTCGATAAAAATTTCTCCCCACTCGGGAATCGAACTTGGTTCTCCTGCATGCAACAGCAAAGCAACTATCCGCTACACCAGATGCCAGTGATAAAATTTGATAAGACAATTCCATTACCGATGAATAACAATAATTTTAATTTCTGTTCTGGTCAAAAACAAGTACAGAAGTAACCACAAAAATAAAACACTCGTTGTTTCATATGATTCATCAAACTGGGAAGACAATGTAAAATTGCTTGAATGTTGCAATTCATCATCCCAAATAGCGCATACAATGCCGCTGAAAATATTATATTAATTTTCTGACTTATGCAAAGGGACTTGAGCAGTAAGAGCTGCACCTTTTTAGAAAGATTTTCTAGAATAAAACCAAAACATTACATGGCATAAAACAAATCCATTTCTTGGAGGAAATTTTTACGACTTCATCAAAAAAGCAACCACAAAATTGAAATGTCTCCTCTTGCGTAGTTACCACAATAGTACACAAGCATGTGATGAATTCCAAATAATGACAAACATTTATATAAAATATACTGCACTTGAACACGGCCTAGAAAAATAGGCTTTCATAAACTTCAGATCTCTTTTGAAATGAGAAACAACCTTGAGGGATAAACTGTGGTTCTTCAAAGCCTTTTATCATTAAGGGGCACACATAAACGCGATATTTATCATCACAGGACAGTTACTTAATCCTTCAAAATAAAGTCAGCATGATCTAAAACACTTTTTAAGTAAGGGAAATGCAATTCCCACTGTGTGTTGCTTAGTTCTGGAACATAACGCTCAGATTTTGATTGAACTGATGCATAATGACAACATTAATTTGTATATATTTAAAAAACGAATTTTGATCCAAGATCTCCAGAACATAAGGGAAAAAAACCCAGCGTTTTTTTGCTTATTTCTGTGCATGAACTCCCAAGAACTAAAAAAGTCTGCATGGTCTGCAACTAATACAGATGTTACATAAAGAAGCTTATGAATTGCGGATAACATAGCACCAATTGAAATTGCAGTGCAATTAAGCTGCAGTCACGTGACAAACATACAGTAAAGGGTACAGCTATTTACATGAGTATAAGACTTTTGATCTTCGTGTTTTGATTTTTTCAATACCAAAGAGCTCCTTTCTTGGTTTGATTATTTTCTATTTTTGCAATTCCTGTGTAGTGCATGAATAAAAATTCTGATCATAAGAATATTCTTTTGTGAAAAGACAGATAATCAATGTTGCAAGTTCCAAAAAATTTTGAAGTTGGACTCACAAAAAAACTGTGAGTCGACTTAAGCAAGGCGAAATTCCCATCATGAGTGCCTCATTTGATCTCATGCTGTATCAGTTACCTATGCAAATTACAAATTATGTACAGTACTGCATTAACAAAATTCAAGAAACAAAAAAGTCACCATTTCCAAGAGGAGAAATAAAATGATAATCTTCCAATAACTGAAATTATTTTTTAAAAGCCTGTCCCACCACCAAACGAGAGAAAGTACGAGCCAACATAAGTGAGGTATTCTGAGATTCAGCAAGGAAGACATCAACAGTTAACAGGTTTATCTTCTTATCTGGCTCAGACAATACAAAAAGTTGCACTGACAAAAAGAAGTTAGTGTATAAAGGCTTGGTTGACAAAACGAGAGAGATTAGAAATATTCTAGCAGCATAATTTATACATGATGAAAATGGAATGAATTTATGGACATCTACAGAGATAAATCTTTTTCAACTAAAACGTAACGATCATCGGAATCAATCTGGCATTTACAATCATTCATTCCATTTTCAATCATTGACTTTGAACACAAGGAGATTCAATATGCCTTTCACACACATACTTCTATATCAGTGAGTGGAATCTGCACAACTTGTGCACTAGTAGACCTTCCACAAAAGGAAAAAGAGACAAATGTACAAATAAAATGAATGCATATAAATATGTAGTCAAACCTCATAACACTAGCAACTCTTGGACCCTGGTAGTATTGCCACTCCAGTGAGGCTTCCACAATAAAGGAGATTTCAAAAATCAATAGAATAAGTCTGAACCAATTGTTGAGGGTACTTTTAATTATTTTATGGTGGCAAAAACCTTAGCTCAATGATCTGCATGGTAAGGATTAACACATTACATTTTTGAATTTCATTTTATTTTGCCGCGAGTGCATCTGGTGCATATATTTCTACCACAATATTGTGACATGCATCAGCTATGTATAAGGTAGACTTGATAGGAACTCTGTAACACTGGCTGTGTTCAAGCAAATTAAGTTTTGAAACATATGCAGAACAACACGATTGGCTGAAATCAGAAGCTAGGAGGTGACTGTTTTTAATCAGTAAAGAGGACAGTGAAAAGTAACTTCCAAACAGGATGTTTTCCCAAACTGACATCACAGCAAACAAAACAAACATACATCAGAAAGTTTGTTTTGTTTTCAGTTGCAAAGATTGTCAGAAAAATTCAGCTCTCCATTGCCCCTACTTCATAAAGGCATAAACTAAACAATGAAGGTAGTAGTAAGGCAGACATCAGAACAGATGACATAGAAACAACTTTTTCTTCTATATTTTCTACTGGTCACGTTTGATATTAGTGGGGGTATTGAGACTGGCGGTATAACAAGGTCTGGCTAAACTTATGTGCGAAAAGTAAAAGATTGTGCAGTAAAACAAAGGAGAGGGGGAAAAAAGGCAGAAAGGACAAAGGAAATGGAAAGTGGATGTTTCCCCACACTCTGACAATCATGTTGAATGAGTATATCTGTGGGCAAAACAACAATGAGTAAAAGAACGTAAAATCATAGAGAAAACATGCTACTGACAAAAAAGACAATATTTCAAAGATGATGATGGGATAAATGATAAATATGAAATAATATTGTATATATGTTTGGTTGTTGGTTTTTTTTTTTGTTTTTTTTTTTCACAAGAACATTTCATAAAGTGTGAGGACGGAAATCTGTGCACGGATTTTAATTTTTTTTTTTTTCACCCTTTTTCATACTGTACACAATGATTAAACATAAAATAAATAGTTCACCATTCTCGCTTACTTTAACTCCACCTTAAGAGTTGGGAGTGCTGGTAGTTTAAGTATCTTTCAATTTTTTTTCTAGCGTTCTCATTATCATAGACTTTTTAGCAAAAAAATATGTGATGTTTAAAAAGTATTTTAAGTTCATTTTAAAGAAAAATTTTGATCACTTTTCCTCAAGACAACAAAGATTTTATCTCTATTAAATCTTTTAGGAATGCAACATTTTTCACTCAAAATCAGTACGCATCTTTTCTCGACAAACCATGACTCTAAATAAATGCATTATCCTGGTTGATATTTTTTTTAAATCATGACACAATCCAAAATGTATTGGTCTAATGAGCCAGCTTGTCAAATAAACTCATAACAATAGATGCCAATTCTTCAAAAGTATTTCCTGCTTGTATACTTTTGACCTCCCAAAAATATGTCTAATTAATTTTCTTTTTTTTTTTAATGCCTTCGAGTGCTACTTTAATTTTTCCTTCGAGTACTACTTTAATTTTTCCTTGTTAACGTCACATGTGTACATTCCTGGGACCTATAGGGTGGAGTTTGCAAGCCACAATGTTGAGCAAACTAGCTGTGTGTGCCTAGCCGGTCCTGCTCTCATTCGTCCTCGCCCGTGGCGCAGGGTCTGCGGAACTCCTGGCCGCGCTCATGGATCCACTTGTTGGCCACCCACTTGGTGCCCACCAGCACGGGGCAGGCGGCGTGCCGGGTGTTGTAGATGCCGTCCCCGTTCTTGTACAGGTTGTACCAGAAGGCTGCATTACCCTGGGGAAGAGAAAAGAAATCCACGTGATAATATTCAGGTGTAAAAAATTTTTCAAAAATATTGTCCAACAGGGCACATATCAAATGTTTTATCAATAATATTGTCTAAAAGGGATAAAACGCATATCCAATATGGAGGAGAGACATTTTAGTGATGTATAGCCAATAACAGTTTTTTAAAAAGTACAGTATTCCCATTCATGTTCTCACTCATCATTACAGTCGCTTCATGCAATTATCTTTCCTTGTAAATCATGGATGCAACTCCACTCTAGACCCCCACGTCCTGCCCCCCACTACCACAGTTGTTGCGCACGAGGTCAAGCAATTCAAAACTTTACTCTAACCTAGTCAACTTGTAGTCACAACAGACACATTTGTGTCACGACATGGTGGAATCAGGCGCTCGTCAGTATTTGCACATATGGAGTTATTGGTGTCATCTTAAAGCTTGTTTGTTTGATTATCTTTTGATTTTTAAAAAAAAAGTCCACCTATATTGAATAGAAGTTGAGATATTTACGATTGAAGGTGGTGGGGGTCACCTGGTTTCAGAGGTAAATAAGAGAGAAAATGGCCGCCAAAGTTTGGCGACTTCCAAAATTTGAGAGTCCTTGGAAACTGAAAATTTACATTTTTTTGTTCCTTTGAATTTATGTTTTTATTAAAATCCACACAAATGTGTTTTTAAACTAACATAAAAGGTGCTGAGCCAAAAAACAAAAAATCCATTAAAAATCCCCAATGGATTGAAAAAATCCAATTTCTTCCATTCCACTATTTTGACAATCACCTGATTTCACCACGCTGCCTCACATTTCACGTGTGTAATAAAAAATTGGCCATCCTATGGATTATATTCCCTTTCAATAATGTAAGTTAGATGAGATGTTTGACCTCTGAATTTAACATTCATCTGCAATAGAACCAAACCAAGCAGGCAAAAAGCCGAGAAAACTCTCAAAACAACACAAGGTCAAGCCACATAAGAGTCATCTAAACCGTAGCCCAGTATAATACCAACCATCTTGGACACCTACAATTTTTTAACAAAATCTAAGTGTGGCCCTGAGGTGAAATCAGGCGCATAAGCACTGGTGGGCATTATTTGTTTTCAGTTTTCTCAACATGGGTCCAATCCACTCCCAGTTTCTCTTTCTGATTTTTATATCTGTTTTCTTTTTTCTTTTTTTCTTTTTTTGGACACCCTTTATTGAGATGTATTGGAGCAAGCCCATTTGTGCCAACATATTTATCCATAGGTGCCAACATTATCCATATGAAACTTTGACAATTAACCATATGTGTCACCACGCAATGGAATCAGGCGCTCGTCAATTTTTGTGCATTTGGGGTTATTGGTATCATATAAAAGCTGATTTGTTTTTCTTGCTTCTTAAGAAATAATATCTTGAATAGAACTCACGATATTTGCGATTGAAGGAAGTGAGGTCGCCTCGCTTCAGTGAAAAATTTGCGAAAAAATGACAGCCAAAGTTTGGTAACTCCAATAGTTAAAGAGTGCATGAAAACAGAAAAATGACATATTTTGTGTCTTTAATCAATGCTTTTCAATAAAATGCACGCGCAAATGTGTTTTTATATAGACGTAAGAGGTTGAGCCAAAAAATGAAAATTCCATAACAATTTCTAAACTGGCAGAAGAATGCGTTTCTCCGATTTCTGTATTTTGACGAGCGCCTGATTTCACCACGCTGCCTCACATATAGAAGTTTCAGGCAAAATACAACTAGGTTACAAGAAAAACTGCAAGTACCGATTGCATATCTATTGAACTGAGTACGAAAAGTCTTGGAAATATTTAAATACAGAGACCATTGTGAAATGTTTTTTTTTCTTTTGTAAGCTTCTTATGTCATGTGCAACATAATTAGGTCACACAAGTGCCACATATTAGCAGCGTTACAAGAGAGTAACAAACACAGAAAAGAAGAAGTTGAAATACGGACAATATATATGTTTGATAAGAAAAAGGATCAAACCACACCAGAGTACCCGTCAACCACTCACAGAATTGTTTTTCAACGTACTGTCAAACCTGCCTAAAACAGAAATCAGTGTAAGACGGAAACCAGTCATAACGGAATCTCCCCGCTCCCCCTTTGATAAATTTCTGTATAATTACCTCTAGTAAACCGAAACCTACCTAACACAGAAACGGAAGAGAGATTCCTTCCCTTTGGAGGATTTTTAACCTGTCTAAGATGGACAATGCTTTGCCTATTCAGCCTTGACTTGAAACAAAAGTGTCCAGTTTGGTTCTCTCGGCTCTAACCTTTACACCATGCCACCAGTTGAGGAAGGGGTGCGACTTGGGGGTAGATACTGCCCCCATCCATGTGTGTCCTGAATGATGCAGATGGTCAGGGTGGTGTTCGTGTGAAATCTCACTAGTGCCTGTGAAAGTGCTTGAATGGCACCCCAGCCCGGAAACTTGCCAGGGTAGCTAATGGCCAAAGGCGTGAAATTAGTTTGACCAATGCCTACCGCTCTAATTGTACGGCTAGCCAAGAAAAAAAACTTCCTCGAATCGCTGTTAATTGCACAGGAGAGTTGGCATTGGTTGACTATGCTCATTACAACGATGGGTGGGCTTAAGGGTGGAAGCAAAGGAGATGTTCAATCATTTCTGTTTTTAATAGGTCAAACAGCGGACCTACGAAATGCAAGCACTGGTGGCAATGGATAAGTAGGACTGATGCATGCCATTATCAGAGGCTCAGATAGCACTTGAGAGGTGTGAAGTTATGACCCCTGCTTGCCCAACAGACAAGCAACCCTTGATTCCACCAGCTGGGACTCTGAAATTCCCCTTTATATTCCCCTAAATTCCCTTCTCTAAGACGGAAAATGTATAACACAGAATGTTTTCCCAGCTCCCTTGCGAGTCCGTCTTACACACGTTCGACTGTATTATCAGAAGAATACAACACAGGAGCTAAGTTTTACCTTTTTAGGAAAGAGTTTCAGGCCAATGTAAGGGAAGACTGTAGCACCACCAGCTTCAACATCAGACATCTAAACAAGTAAATCAGGAAAAAAAACATGTAAGAGGTTCAGGACATAAAAGAATACATCATGATAACATCCAAAAAGTGCATGCAAAAGTTTTTACTCTTATATTGTTTAATACCGTTATTCATACGAAAATAAAAAGAAATTTTGTGAAAAACTTTATCTACAGAAGAAGCACGAAAAACTCGAACTCAGGTAACTGAAAAACTGATTCCTCCATCTGAGACCTTGGCCCCAAACTTTTTTCTCTATATCACCACAGTCACAAGCAAAATGAAACAACCTCACTGTTTCTAACTCATCCTGATAAACAGGATCAAATGAAGTTACTCATTTTTCTTGCGACAGCAATGATGAGTTGATCATATAATTATTCACGTAGAATAGACAAGAACATACATAACTCAAATTTTCTTGTAGAGAAGTTGATCCAAGTTGACATATATAGCCAGAGTTGTAATTCAGTACGGTACTTCTTGTTAACCTAACCCTTCACAAAAGTCGAGGCAGAAACACGAAACGAACTTTCACACCTTTGATGAAAGAATAAAGGTGCGAGAGAAGGAGAAAAGAAGCAACAAATTGTTACGGCAGCAAGGCAGATGGACTTTGGTGCGGAAAAGGAGTGCACAGGTGGGACGGACACAGCATGTTCTGGGACAACTAGCTATGATCACAACACGTGCAGTGCGATTCAATGGAATAGAATACTGTGAATCAAAAGACGGGCACTATGAATAGACTGTGTCATCCAAGGTGTTGCTAGTTGCTACACTCACAGCCAGCCCTTTCTTTGTATTTACATATAATAAATATCCTGTGACCCTGAGTAGTCCATAGTTCCTGCTGGCCAAATGGGAGCATAAGCAATGACTTTGGCAAATGTGACTCAACTCATTCCCAGAATGCCACATCATAAGATGCAGCAGCTTTCGATAGCCCTGGCTATGTGCCATATTATGGGATGTAGCAAACAAAGAATGTTTGTCCTTGGGCTGAGAAGTTGTGTGTAGAAGAAAGATTCTCAACACCAACTGCAGACCACTTTTAACTCAGTTATGCCTCTTCATTAAAAAAAAACTTCATTATGGTCTCTTATAGATGCTCACACACAATATTTCAATTTCACTACGACAAGCCGCCACCTCAGAAAAAAATTGCAGACAGTAGCCTATTTTTATCAGTCGTAACAGAGCTCTAATTTTACTGTTTCTCCATGACCTTAAGCCAAAGCATAAAGGAAGAGGTATTGAAACTTTTCATGATCCATCTTTATATATCATATTTGATTTCTGAAGCCTACAGTAATCTTTGTATTTACATACAATAAATATCCTGTGTTCGTAGTTCCTGCTGGCCAAATGGGAGCATAAGCAATGACTTTGGCAAAGGTGACTTAGCAGAGCAACTACTAAAAAATAAGTACTTAACCTAAGGTTGAAAAAATATGACAACTTGCCTTGATGTTCCCTTTGAAGTATATAAACCATCCCCTAAATGCTTCATGACAAAAAAGTAGACACTTCGGCTGCAGTTACCATTTCGTCAATGAAATACACACTACTTGAAATATGACAAACCCTGGCAAAATGATGCATCTACGTTGAGTTCGAATAACCAATGCTCAACCACATCAGACTAAATGAAAATCTTTATGCTCTAGAATACATTTGCGAACGTGCCTGGCGAAAGGTACCTCAGGCTCCATAGGTCAAAAATAGAATTTTTGACAAAAACTAAGTTCCATACAAGGACTTGAGTTTCTTTTACTTTAAAATACATTTTTAAAGATGTTTTTAACACGAGGTACATCGCATAATCCCAAAAAATGCGTGAGAAAATAGGTTTTCCAAGTAAACACTGCTGATGGTTTCTCTTGTTCATTCATAAAGTCGACCTATTCACAATGCATACCAAAATTTAGGTCATTCTCTCTCCTCTCTAATGGTGAGTAGGGAGCATGAATATCTAGAACATGTAAACAAAGCGAAGCTTTGCACATCCAACCCCTTTCATTTTTTGGGGGGAGAGCAAACTTGTAATTATATCGCCTATTTCTGCCATGCGCAAACCTGGATTTAATATCTTGAATATTTTTGCTCAAGGTGGTGGTGAAAATGTTTTGAAGATGTAATATAAATACTTTGAAGCTGTTCTTATATCTTAGCTGCTTTTTAAAGTTGGTTTGTGAGCAGCGAATTTGTTGTCAGGTTGTCTCGAAGCCTAGATCTATCTATTTGAAACAGAAATAAAGGGGAAACTTTAAAGCCGTTTTTCTCAAAACTCTGTTTCCGTACCCTGCCTTACAAAATCCCCCACATCTTAAATACTATTGAAGATATCTTTAAAATTCAAAAAGCATATTGTTCAGAAATGATCTCTGTAAATGAAGATGCAAAAAAAACAGGATTCTTCAGAATGCGTCCTTTGGTACCTTTCACCGGGCGCACACACATTTTATGATAAAAAAGTTGAGATATTTACCTGATAATTCTCTTGGGCGAGGATGCAAAACCCTGATATTTTAGACATACCTCTTGACTCACACAAAGCACAGCACTTTTTAAACTATCACAACTTACATAATTTAAAAATGTTGCAATTCTGTTTCCAGTTCCAAGAGACTTGAAAGCATCTTTTTCTTCTTTCTACATTCGTCCAAAGTAAGAGGTAGAAAGAAGCGCAACCAGTTAGTGTATATGGATACATTGAACACTACACTATTTCACACTATTTACGGAACAAAGTGGATCCTTTAAAGGGTAGACAACCTGTGATGGGTTTTCTTGGGCATTTCTATATTGATCTAGTGACTCTTGGAGACAATCATGCTCATATCAGTAATAAGAATGCCAATTTTGAACGGTTAACCTTCGACAATAAAATAATAATTCAGGAGGAATATAATATTCACCTAAAATTTTCCTTTTCCGTAACGAATATTGTTAAATGAGCATGACGCCTTTCTAATATATCTGCTCCAACAATAAATGGCTAGAGAACCAATTCAGCAAAAAGCAGCAAGTCTCCCAACATGACCTCTCCAAACTAGCATTAAACCCACATCCGTTTACTATTCAATCAAGGAATGTATGCCATTTCTCCATCACAGATGGTCATCCCTTCTTGGAGACAACATTTGGGAATAAATGTCAAACAGGGAAAACCAAAAGGATTCACAGCTCTCAGGTTTAGACCTCAAGACAACCTGAAAGCAAAAGAAGCTTCCCAAATATTGCTGTGTAAATCCAATGGCAATGCAACAACTCCATACAGTCATATCAATTGGTCAGTTATCAGTTTTAGTAAAAACTTGTGCAAACCTAATGACAGTGTGTGGAACAACTTGATTCGAACATACCAGCATACCAATTAGTCATTACTTTTGTACAGAGTTCTGCATAATTAATTAATTTTTTTTAAGTTGTTGCATTGCCAGTGGCTGTAGAAAGACTATAGGCTAATACAAAAAATGGGTGACATAAGTCACTTCACTTACGTAGATGAGGAACGTGGCAATACGATTCCCGACCTGCAGCTCTAACCAACTCTTTTTATCTCTCTGAAAAATTTCATCAGGCATTTCTACCGTAAGTTTAGGTTAATAACGTAAAGACCTTAAAGACTGAATTGATTCAGTTGACCAGGGAAGATGACTTCCACAGAGTAATAAATAAAACTGAAGACACAAATTTTTTAAGGTATATCAGGGACAAGACTACAAATTGAAACGATTTACAACAAAGAAGTTTCTTTAAAAATCTCCTTTCCAAAGTACAACACAGATTTCTCATTTACATTTGAAATGAAATTATAAAAGAGGGATAATAAGCTTTATGAAACATATCCTGAATGAATTAAACATTTAAGCGATTCATGCATTTAATGATGCCAATCATCACAATGTCTTTCGAGTCGGAACATTTCTCCATTCAAAATAATCCATCTATCGTATCCATTAGATATTCACAACACATAAAACCACTTACCCTAGCAAAATCAAAATGTGGCTCATAGTGACCCCCTAACCCATAGTTGGCAATCTGGGGAAGAGAAACAAACAGTTTTTACAAAAGAATATAAATATTGTTACAAAACTGAAATTTGATCACAATTTTTTCTTTTATCAGAGCATGAGAGTGATAGACTAAGGAAACACTCTTTGATATCACGATTTACTTATTTTAAGTGGCCTAATAAGAATTGGTGTCATATAAGTAGGCTACTACTCAACTCTGAACCTTCTTTGGCTTTTAACAAAACCTGCATTAAAAATTTTTTTAATATCTTCAACATTCTACACCAGGGTGATGCAGTGGCAATTGTATGTTTGTCATTGTAAACCAAAAAATCGAAACAAATAAAACTGTAATTTATTTTAAAAATTTTTTAATTTGCACCAAAAATAATCTTTGAAACAGGTACATAGTACAACATTCTACAGGAAACAGCAGTGCCTTGTGAAATGTCAGAATTATTTTCAAGCTGGCAAAATTGAGTTCAGGGTCACATATTTTGCGAATATTACCGTCTGACCAAATCAAAAGAATTTCTCTCTCTTTCTCTCTCTCTCTCTCACTCCCCCCCCCCCCCCCCTCCTTCTCCTCCCCTCTCCTCTCCCTCCCTCTCTTCTCCCTCCCCTCTCCTCTCCCTCCCTCTCCTCTCAACCTGTAGTTCTTCTGCTGTGTCCATGTCAAGGCCGGTGATGGCTTGCATGCGTTGATTGAGCTTCTCCACCACAGGATGATCCTCACCCTTCAGCCAGGCACTGCAAATAAACAGTTTTGGTTTTAGTAGATGTTTTACGGTGCTTGCAACTGTATACGGTCATATGAGCGTCAGAAGATTAGAGGTGTTACAAGAGGGTAACAAACATAAAAAAGAAGAAGGGGAGATAAGGAAAGAAGGAGAAAACCACAACAGAGCACCCGTCAACCATCCACTGGAAATAAACAGATGGACAAAAAGAAGAACAGGTGTAGAGAATGGTGGGGTTTGAGTCCAGGAGAAACAAGAAACACATTTGTAGCAATATGAGTAAACAGAAGAATTTCCATACAAAAACAGTAAGTCAGCGCTGGGGAAAAGTATTACAGTCACAAGATGATCCTCACCCTTGGGCCAAGAACTGAAAATAAACAGAAGGACAAAAGGATGGACAGATGGTGAGATTGATGGGGTCTGAGTTAAAGAGAAGCACGTTGACACAATAATGATCTGTTTGTTGTGTTTTAGTAAAGGGATTCATTTCAACACAATATCAGTCATTTACCACTGGAAATAGTAATAAAGAAAGAGACAAAATCAAAGGCGTAAAAGAAAAGACAGAAAATTATGGCACTTAAACAGCAACACTGCAAAGAAACAAGAGAAGCAAAAGACCCTATAGAGTGCCCCAAAACCATACATCGATTAAAAAAACAAACAAACCCAAACAGACCACCAAAGAAACTAGAATTTTCTTACAGCTACAAGTAGTTAATAAGACGATTAGGGTTAGTGAGGTGTTGAAATTCTCTCTTACCTAGTATCCCTTTATAACTATAAATATAGAATTAAAAACATAAACTGATAGCATTTTTCTCAGAAAATAAGTTGAAAGATGGTCCCAATGGCTGAGAACATTTCGTTTCAACCAATAACACAAAGTACTCCCATATTAGTCAGCCTCCGCAATCTCCTTTACCTCTGTGAAGCTTCACCCACCTTTTGCTGATTCTGTAGCTTGCAGTCTCCAGGGCACCAGTCTTGGCATTTTGGACAGTGGCGCGGTTCAACTGTCGAATGAGAACATAGATAAGGCAACTGAAGAATGAACACATTTAGTGACGGTGAAGACGTCACAAAAGCCAAAGTTAGCTTAACAAGACACTGACTGTTAAAAGGCAGAAGATAATTGAGACAGGAAAATACATCATCTCAAAGGCAAGCCCACTGAAGAATCTACATGCTTAAGATTACAATTAAGATAATCAGCAACAACAACAATAACAATTAATAATAAAATGAAGTAATAATAACAATTATCATGATAATCATAATTATTATAAGGAGGAGGAGGAGGAGGAGGAGAAGGAGAAGGAGAAGGAGAAGGAGGAGAAGAAGAAGAAGAAGAAGAATACTGATGATTAAAATAAAACTGGTACATAATTTCATCCACCCTCCATTTCTACATACCCTTGGTGTAGCCAGCTGCTTGATCTGGCGGATCTCCTGGTCGCTGACCACGTCGTGGTAGACCACCACCCAGGGGTCAAAGTGCACAGTCTCCTCTTTGGCTGGCTGCAGCAGCAGTATGGGGTGGTTGATGGTTCTGTACTGGCACGTCAGCCTGTGCTTGGGACGCTTGATTTTTTGGGGGGGGGGGGGGGGGGGACAAGAGGTGATCAGTGGGTGGGTGGCAAGGGGGATTTTGTGTGAGTATTTATTTTATTCTAGTTAGAGTTTAATGGCACTTGCAACACACTTACGTCATATAAGAGCTGAAGATTGGAGGTGTTAGAAGAGAGCAACAAAAACAAAAAAAGGAGAGGCAAAGATGATAGATGTTTGATAGGAAAGAAAATGAGAAAATGCTTATAATCATTATACCCATGTGCATCCCATCGGCCCCTGGGAGCAGTCGCTCATCATTTTGGGGAGGAGCTTTGACAACTGAGAGCGACCACTTGGGTCTACTGACTTAAAAATCAAATTTTTCATAACCCATTTATAGCCAGGCCTATCTATAATCCTTTCAATTTATCCCAAGACAGTCTCAAGGGTGACAGTTCAGTGGGGAAAGAAAAGAGGACAAATATACAAGCCAACATGTAAGATGCCATGAACTGTTATCATCAGTACTGAGAGTCTACCAATACTGGCTGTTAAAAAAAAGAGAGAGAGAGAGACAGTCACCCTTTTTCATATTCAACCGAAATAATTTATGCAAGTTTAGTTCCCATGTAGGGAAATTTTTTACCGAGTATCTCTGACTTGTCTGCCGAGACGTGGTATACCATTCAGCCCTCGATGACCCTCACAGGCGAGGTAGAAGCAGCCCAAAATCCTAAAACATCTAAATTGTGTCGGGGGCAGGCGGCAACCATTTTTGACAATATTTCACAATGATTTTTTCTTTAGCTAAACTGGTGAAGACCAAACGATATAGAGCTGGGAGGGGGGGGGGATATTTCCAACTAACCGTGGTGATCTCATCGCGGCACAGAGCCTCGTAAGTGAGGAACTCCTTAGAGTTGCGGTACTCGTCTCTGTTGAGCTGATAGCCGGGACGCTCCTGGTCGGGGACTTTACGCTTGGGGTCCCTCAGCATGACCTCGAAGTAACGCTTGTTGTTGACGGCACGCTCGTGATTGGGGTCTGAGGGAGGACATAAGTTCATATAAAATATGCTCATCATGAGAAAGATGTTTAGAGTCGCTGTTTCTAGTGAGTCTAAGTTTTTGAGTACTGAGAAGCACATCAACGCAACCATGCAATGACCATTCAAAACAGGGAATCAGCAAGACACACAGACAAAAATAAGAAATCAAGATACCATGGACCCCTCCCCCATATTACTCACAGGGACTAAATCATATTGGATAAAGAATCTCAATATGGAGAAAGCTCTTGCAGAGGAGTTTTGCAGAAAATCAGTCTTCAAAGATTTGTTCGTTTGTTTGTTTTGAGTAAAAAGCAAAACATCAATACAAAATTGGTAATAGAGAGCATGAAGAAAGCCAGGCAGACAGACAGACAGACAGAAACAACAGAGGGAGAGAAAGGAGTTAGTACATCTACCAATCAATAGTGCCCTTCTGTCAACTACAGGGAGTAAAAGAGTTCAGTTCAGACAACAAATCTCCATAGAAAGAATGATGTTGTTGAGTTGTAATTTACAGCAAATCAAGTATAACAAAAGCCTAACTTCACAACGAACAGATATAAATAACAATGCTGTTGAAGAGAGCTGATTGAGTTATCCGAGCAAGTAACGATGCGTCACCATTTGATCACATTCTGAAAGGTTCGTTTCTTGAATGATATAGAGAAGCCAATCAGCACAACGCTGATTATTTAGTGTAAGGGTCTTAACACTACAGCCCATGGGCTAGATCCTGCCTGCACAATGCCACCATGTTTTGTAAAAAAAGAAAAGTAGAAAGATGTGTCCACAGCACGCTCAGGACTACTTCACCAAAGCAAAAATTATTTAATTTAACTTTACCAAGCAAATTCAGCACGCTTTTGTAGACTTAATAATTCCTTGCTAATGTATTTTATGTATTGATAAATGAATAAGGCGGTTGCCTTTATTTTATTCACATCGAGTGTGTTGTATTGAACTATATTTTAACTATACAGCCTTAGTTCAGCATTCTTTTAGTTATTCAGCCCACTTTGAAAAAAAAAGTTTCTAGACCATTTAGTGCAAGGGGAAACAAAATAAAAAAAAAAACCAACAAAATTCTTAAATGAAGCCCACTAAAAAGCTACTCAATATCACCCTCTTCACCAGCTTCACAAAAAAAAAGAAGGGGAAAAAAAAGTAGAGAAATCATGGTAAATCTGCTCATACAGAAGCTCGTGGCAGAGCAGCTCACTGTCATGAGTAAACAAAACGAATGAGTTGGCGAAGTATGAGCACAGTCGGGCATGGATAACTGTAACACGTTGGGGACTGACAAATGTGTTCCACACATTCATATTTTGAGTTAATTGACAATGAAAAATTACAGATATCAGTTGGGAGAGTGGCAAACTGTAAAAGCTATTTGTGATTTCAAGTTTTACGTGTTATTTGTTCCTGACTGTCTACAAATGAACCATAACAAACTACTCGTCTACTCAAAAGATCAAACATAATGACAAAAATATACAAACCTATCTTAAGCAGCTCATTGGTCAGTTCCAAGGCTTGGGTCACATCTCCGAGCTGAAAATGACAAAACAAGAAATAAGCTTTTGTTCTCATTTTAGTAAAAGTTGTACAGCACTTGCAACACAATTGGGTCATAAAAGTAACAATCACAAATAAAAGGAGGAGAGATAAGGATGATAGATTTTTGACAGGAAAGAAGGAGCAAACCACACCAGAGCATCTGCCAACCACCCACATCAGTTTGTGGAAAGATATGCACATCGGCACAATAACTA